GATAGATGAACCTCTAGCCAGGCTAACCAAGAAACAAAGAGAGAGGACCCAAAAAAAACAAAATCAGAAACGAAAGAGGTGAAATAACAGACCCCGCCGAAATACAAAGGATTGTTACAAAATACTACGAACAACTCTATTCCAACAAAATGAATGACCTGGAGAAAATGGACATATTCCTAGAAAAATACAACCTTCCAAAACTCAATCAGGAAGAATTTAAAAATCTCAATAGAGCAGTGACTTGGGATGAAATTGAAACAGTCATCAAAAAGCTTCCAGCAAACAAAAGCCCAGGGCCAGATGGCTTCACAGGAGAGTTTTACCAAACATTCAAGGAAGAGCTAAAACCTATCCTCCTCAGACTATTCCAAAAAATTCAAAAGGAAGGAACACTTCCAAACTCCTTCTATGAAGCCAGCATCACCCTAATACCAAAACCAGATAAAGACAACTCAATGAAAGAGAATTACAGGCCAATATCCCTCATGAACATAGATGCCAAAATCCTCAACAAAATTTTAGCAAATTGGCTCCAGCAGAGCATCACAAAGATCATACACCATGACCAAGTAGGATTTATTCCAGGAATGCAAGGTTGGTACAATATCCGCAAATCAATAAACGTGATACATCACATAAACAAGTTGAAAGATAAAAATCATATAGTCATATCAATTGATGCAGAAAAAGCATTTGATAAAATCCAGCACCTTTTCCTAATAAAAACTCTCAACCAGGTGGGAGTACAAGGATCATACCTCAATATAATAAAAGCTATATATCAGGGGTCCTCAAACTTTTTAAAGTGGGGGCCAGATCACAGTCCCTCAGAGAGCTGGAGGGCCGGACTATATGAACTACTAATTCCTACTGTAACACCTCGGCTGCGCTCACTGCCCAAAAAACCTGGCGGACCGGATCAGACTCCTTTGCGGGCCGCATGTGGCCCGTGGGCCGTAGTTTGAAGACACCTGCCACAGCCAACATCATACTCAATGGGCAAAAACTAAAACCATTCTCTCTAAGAACAGGAACAAGACAGGGATGCTCACTATCGCCACTCCTGTTTGACATAGTACTGGAAGTACTAGCCATTGCAATTAGACAAGAGGAGGAAATAAAAGGCATTCAAATTGGAAAAAAAGAAGTAAAGTTATCCTTATTTGCAGACGACATGATATTGTATATAAAAAACCCAAAAGACTCCATTAAAAAACTAATTGGCTTAATAAATGAATTTGGCAATGTAGCAGGATACAAAATTAATGCCAAGAAATCTATGACATTTCTATACACCAACAGCAAATTTATAGAAACAGAGACTAAAAAAGCAATTCCATTTACTATCACACCAAAAAAATTAAGATACCTAGGAATAAACTTAACTAAGGAAGTAAAGGACCTATACGCGGAAAACTACACGACACTGAAAAAGGAGATAGAGGAAGATGTAAACAGATGGAAGAACATACCATGTTCATGGATTGGTAGAATCAACATCATAAAAATGTCCATACTTCCTAAAGCAATCTATAGGTTCAATGCACTCCCCATTAAAGTACCAACGGCATATTTCACTGACCTAGAAAGAACTCTCCAAAAGTTCATTTGGAACAATAAAAGACCCCGAATAGCCACAGCAATCCTGAGAAAGAAGAGTAAAGTAGGAAGGATCTCAATACCAGACTTCAAACTGTATTACAAAGCCACTGTTCTCAAAACAGCCTGGTACTGGCACAAAAACAGACATATAGATCAATGGAATCGAATCGAGAACCCAGATATCAACCCAAATCACTATGCTCAATTAATATTTGACAAAGGAGGCACGAATATACAATGGAGTCAAGACAGTCTCTTCAGTAAATGGTGTTGGTAAAATTGGACAGATACATGCAAAAGAATGAAAACAAGATCACCAACTTATACCATACACAAAAATAAACTCAAAATGGATACAGAACTTAAACATAAGACGGGAAACCATAAAAATACTAGAAGCATCCACAGGCAACAAAATCTCAGACATATGCCAAAAGAACTTCTTTACTGATACTGCCCCTAGGGCAATGGAAGCTAAAGAGAAAATTAACAAATGGCACTACATCAAAATAAAAAGCTTTTTTACAGCAAAAGAAACCATCAACAAAACAATAAGAAAGCCCACTGTGTGGGAGAACATATTTGCAAACAATACCACTGATAAAGTTTTAATCTCCAACATCTACAAACAGCTTATTCAACTAAATAAAAGGAAGATGAATGATCCAATTAAAAAATGGGCAATGGATCTATATAGAATATTTTCAAAAGAAGACAGAAGGAAGGCCAAAAGGCACATGAAAACATGCTCAAAGTCACTAATTATCGGAGAGATGCAAATCAAAACAACAATGCGGTACCATCTCACACCTGTCAGAATGGCCAACATCAACAAATCAACAAACGACAAGTGTTGGCGAGGTTGTGGAGAAAAAGGAACCCTCGTGCACTGCTGGTGGGAATGCAGACTGGTGCAACCACTGTGGAGAACAGTGTGGAGTTTCCTCAAAAAACTGAAAATGGAACTCCCATTTGACCCAATAATCCCACTCCTAGGAATATATCCCAAGAAACTAGAAACACCAATCAGAAAGGATATATGCACCCCTATGTTCATAGCAGCACAATATACAATAGCTAGAATCTGGAAACAGCCTAGGTGCCCATCAGCAGATGATTAGATCAAAAAACTAAGGTACATCTACACAATGGAATACTATGCTGCCATAAAAAAGAAGGAATTCTCATCATTTGCAGCAACCTGGATAGAAGTAGAGAACATCATGCTGAGTGAAATAAGCCAGTCAATGAAAGAGAAATACCACATGGCCTCACTCATTTATGAATATTAAAAAACATTATAAACTGACAAACCAAAAGATAGATACAAAGACAGTAGAGCAACAAGCAGACTGTAAAATTATAGCGGGGAGAGTAGGGAGATCTGGGGGAGATAAGAGATCAACTGAAGGACTTGTATACATGCATATAAGTACAACCAATGGACACAAAACTCTGGGGAGGGAGGGAATGTATGGGAAGGGGGGCAATGTTAAAATAAAAATAATAAATAAAAAGTAAAAAATAAAATAAAATAAAAATCAATGGAAAAAAAAAGAAAAAAATTATAACTTTCTGAAATCGACTAAAGAAGATATAGAAAAGCTGAATAAAATAATTTTAGCCCTAAAAATATTGATTTGACAATCAAATGTCAACATCTCCTAGAAAAGACATTAGTATTAGATGATTTTAGCAGTGAATTTTACCAAACCTTCAAGGGAAAGATCATCTCTATCTTCTATGAACTTATGGACAATAGAAAAGGATAGTAGGCCTCTTAATTTGTAAAACTACTACAGTCTTGACACAAACATGAAATAAGGACTGTATGAGAGGGGGGGATAAACTATAGCATAATCTCACTTATAAATGAAGGATTTTTACTTAAATCAGATTAAGGATTTTTCGCAAAAACCTAGAGCAATCATATCACTTCCTTCTGGAATATTCCCATTAAAAGCAAGTACAAAGCAAGGAGGCAATTATTGTAGCCACAATTTAACATTATACAGGAAATGCGAGCAAATGCATTAAAAAGGAAGAAATGGAGAGAAAGAAAAAATGTGTGAGGTTTGCAAAGAAAATGAAAAAATTTTGTAGGCATAGTAAATGCAGGGACATCAATAGGATTCATCAAAGTTGCTGATTACAAACTCAACATATAAAACTCAATGTATCTTTACTTTTATGTCAAAAACAACAATTTAAGAAATAAAATTGAAAAAATTTAGCCAAAGAAAAAAAAAAGTTCAAGTTTTCCATCAAGGAAATAACTGTTGAGGTGGTAGAAATAGCAAGAGATCTAGAATAACAAGTGGAGCCTGAAGAACTGCAGTCTGGATTTCTGTTGTGATCTCATGATAAAACTTTAATGGATGAGGAGCATTTTCTTCTGGCTGATCAAAGAAAGTGGTTTCTTGAGACGGCATCTACTCTTAGAAAAGATGCTGGGAAGATTGTTGGATTGACAACAAAAGATTTAGAACATTACCTAAACTTAGATGAAAAATAAGTGGTGGGTTTTGAGGGTATTACTTCAATTTTAAAATAAGTTTTACTATGGGTATAATGCTATAAAAAAGCCTTGCATGCTACAGAGATCTCATCCATGAGAGAAAGAGTCAGTGGATGTGCAAAACTCATTGTTCTATTTTTTTTCAAAAATATTTTTATTGATGTTAGAGGGAGAGAGAGAGAGAGAGAGAGAGAGAGAGAGAGAGAGAGAGAGAGAGAGAGAGAGAGAGAGAGAGAGAGAGAGATCAATGATGAGAGAGAACCATTGATTGGCTAACTCCAGTGTGATCCCTACTGGGGATGGAGCCTGCAACTTGATCATGATTAGGAATCAAACAATTATCTCCTGGTTTGTAGGTCGACACTCAACCCCTGAGCCACATCAGCTATATTAATTTTTGTTTTATTTTAGGAAGCTTCTACAGCTACCCCAACCTTCAGCAACTACTACTCTGATCCTTCAGAAGCCATCAACATTGGGGTAAACCCTCCATCAGCATAAGAATTATAACTCACTGAAGGCTCAGATGATTATTAGCAGCTTGTAGTCATAAAGTATTTTTAATTAAAGATGTGTATTTTTTGTAGATAAAATGCTATTTTACACAGAGTTGACTACTGTATAGTGTAAATTTCAGGTGATTTTTTTTTGTGATAGTCATTCTATTGCTATGTTTTGGAAACAAACCCAAAATATCTTCAAAGTTTGCCTGTACTTCACAAAAGATGTTAACTAATTAAATGAGGGTGTTCATGAAATCTTTTCTGCATGTAATAGTAACCTAGAGGTACTTTTGTTCTTTAAGTTCAACACTTAATCCAACACTAAAGAGGATAAATAAACCTAAAATATTATATTTTAAAAATATTGTTCTTACCAGGGAAATCGATTGCCCGTGTCTTGAATTGTCCCTTTTTTATGTCAGGTGCAACTGCAGATGTTGAGCGTTCCTCAGTACTGTCTAGAGAAATAAAACCGATATGGAAAAACATCATATGATGATTTACATAGATATTATTTACATATGAATACATGTGATTTGAGTGTGTGTGTGTGTGTATGGTGGGTATCACTAGCATGCTTTATTATATAGAAAAGCATTATATTTAAATCTCTGGATTGCAGAATCACAAAACCTTACATTTAAACAGATGGAGCAAGGATATAACCCATATTATGTTGATGTTCAGAGATGTTTAGTGACTTGTCCATTAATTTAATAATTTTGACACATAATTTCTTAAGCAGTGCTTATTCCATCCACTTTCTCTCCTGCAAATTGAAATCATCTCAGAGAAGTAATAAAAATAAAATTAATTCTATACTTACATTAAATGCAAACTCTTTATATAGGAATGGACCTGATGAAGTATAATATTTCTATTTGATTGCTTTATTTATTTATTTATTTATTTATTTATTTATTTATTTTTACCACAGGACAATTATAAAACCAAAGAATGTACCATGAGCTAGAAATACTTTGACTCACCCACCAAAATTTTAGTTCCCCCTTAGACTTTGTAGCTGTTAACCATGTAGATATCAGAAAATAAAAAGATGTCGACTGGTTTCAGATAAAGTGTCCTCTGAGATTTCTTTGATATGGAGACTTTGTGACTTGTAAGGAGAAAATGTTTAAGTTTGCAGCAGTACCGAGGGTTCTGATGGGATCATTTGCCACATGAATTTACATATGGTTCAAAGCTTTTGCTATAATTAACAACTATTAACTTGGTCCCATGACATAAAAAAATTCATGAAAGGTATTAAAGAGAAATTATTATTGTGGTAGGGATAAATTGGATTCAGGATCTAGAGTGGACTTCAAGGCCAACAATATATGGAGTAGAAGTCAGTTCTAGTGGACCCTGCAAGTATAGTTGGAGACATCTCAGGGTCCTGACACTTCACAGCAGACCTCTTGCTTTGAAGAAATGCCTGAGCCCATGAAGAAATATAAAAGGTCACACTATGACTCTGTCAACCAATATGTACCATACCAGTTTCTTTACAGAGAGTATCCCAGCTGGGTTACCATAACAAAATAAATAAAAATACCTCATATTGAGCGGAACAAATGTTTATTAATTGTTTAGAAACATTTTGTAAAAATACATGTACCACAGCAACACAACACTGGGCAACATTAGTCAATATATTTTAGTTGTTCTGGTCTTTTTCCAATAAGTATAAATAAGAAACACCAAGTATGTAACATACTAAGATAAATGGGAGGTAGTCAGAATAGCATTTGAGGGGAGAAATGCTGGAGAAATTTATCCTATCTAATAAAGAGGGAATATGTTAACTGTCCCCCATGCCATTGCAAAGATGGTGACACCCACAGCCAATAAGGAGGTAACATGCTAATTAACTGCCATGCCCTCAAGGATGGCAGTGCCCACAGCCACAATAGGGCAGTGCCCAGTCACCTCAGCCCTGCCAGGGCCAAGCCCCTTGCACAAATTTCATGCATCAGGCCTCTAGTTTTGAATAAGAGTGATGAAAGCACTCCTATTCTTAAGGGAAATACTTTTAGTTTTATCCATTGCGTATGATGTTGGTTTTAGTTTTGTTGTATATGGCCTTTATTATTTTGAGTTTTGAGTCCTCTATTACCACTTTGCTGAGAGTTTTTATAAATAATAGGTGTTGGACTTTGTTGAATGCTTTTTTCCCCATCCATTTATATGATCATGTGATTGTTATATTTTATTTTATTAATGTGATGTATCACATTTATTGATTTGTGAATATTATTCCAGACTTGCATCCTTGCAATAAATCCCACTTGGTCATTGTGTGTCATCTTTTTATGTATTGCTGAATCCTATTTCTTTTCTTTTTTAATCATGAAAGTAAAAGGTTTATTCATGTTTGAAACTACATATAACTACCACGAGGAATACTTTTTCAATCCAGGGTGTAATCCAGTTAGAAAGGAACACGAAACACTTTTAATACATTAGAATCACCGCCACAAATTAATTATTTTCATGACTCAATCAGTTTCAGAATCGCATACAATACAAAAAGAGAGAAAGGAAGGGGCCCCATCACACAGGGTGAAATATATAGTACTGAATACTGAAACCCAAATGCATCACAATTAGTTGCCGCTTTTTTTTTTCTTCTCTTTTTTTGCATGAATTAGTAACAAGATGAAGAACATTCAAAATGTTTCTCAGTATTTACAACAGTTTTACTGATTCTGTGTTAAAGACCCAATGTTTCCACTCTCGGTTTTTTAAAAGTTGCAAATGCAACCCTGATTTTTCTTTTAAAAGATTACAATGTATATTACATTTTATGAAGGGAAACAAAGAGTTAATTACAAGATGCAAAAAGATAAGAAAGAGACAAACTATAGCGTGAGTATTGTTCAGAGGTAGTAAGTGAGTGAGCACTCTAAGCTACAGAACGTGTTGAAATTCTATTGGTTTGTATGAGTTCACATGAAGTAATAAAGCTGTGTTTTGATTGGTGAGATGTATAAATACTCTTTTGCTACGCTATATACAACACTCCAGAGAGCAGGGCCTTGGTCAATGCCCAGAGGACGTAGCAAACCTTGGCAAGTCTGTGCAGCACCCAGCACACATTGTGAAACCCAGATGGATCTCATGTTCACCTCCATCAGCAGCAAGTACTTTCATCTCCCAGGATAGTCTGGATCCATGATTTAATTACCAAGCAGACTCTGGGCACTGAAAAAATGCTACCAGTCTCTGATCTAATTAAAACATAAGAGATCGCAACACAATGTGACGAGTTAAGAGTCTTAAGCACAACCATCATTAACAGAGATAGCCCAATGGCTCCTTTATTCCAGCTCCGTTAGCGATATGAAACAGAGACAAGCAAAGTCTGCGATGGAAACACGCGAGAAGTTCTATGTAGAAGAGTCTTTGCATCTGCTTTAACCAATGAGGTTTAGCATCCATTGTACTTTTTTTACCCTTAAGGCCAAGTAATTGGCAACTGTGAAACCATTAATGTAAAATATTGATAATAAATTATGATAAAATAGCTACAGGATGGTCAACAATGTTAAATCTTGGTCTAATTAGATAAAGTGCTTTAAAAAAACACATTGTGTGTGTTTTTAAGTATAAATACAAATAACTATGATTCTTTAAAAAACAGATGACCAAGTTCTCTAAGAAGACAAGGTTTTACAGTAATGCTGTAGATGGTGGGCCACAGAACCGTGTTCCTTCTCCTCCTATTGCTCTGAATGCACTAGCGAGGCGTGTCAGCTCAGGGGCAAGTGTTGCCAGGATTAGTTAGAGGTATCAGAGTACACACTTCCTGGGCCTTTTGTAGGAGAAGTCACAGAAGATTGAGTTGTTGAATCCTGCCAGCCTCCATTAGCATTTAAATTATGTGGACTGTACAGCGAATTTCCTCCCATGCCATCACTGTAGCCTCCCGTCTGATTGATAACACGATTGAGGGTATCCACCTCTGACTGCACATTGGCTCCGACCTGGGACCCTTGGTAAGAATCCCCATTCAGACTCTGCATGTTGATGAACATGTCCGCAGAATTTGGGAGGTTAAAAGAACCAGAAGAACTGGAATTTGGCGTGGTGGGCGAGTTGGTCTGGTTGTGCTGCACAGCTGTGGCCACTGCGTGTGCGGCTGTCACGGCTGTCTTTGCAGCGTAGAGGTTGGCTTCTTCCTGAACTTGCCAATATTCTTCTTGTACCTGATTCGTTTGTTGCCAAACCAGTTGGATACCTGGGACACCGTGATGCTGCATTTCTTAGCCAGCTCCTCTTTGGCTTCTTCACTGGGGTAGGGGTTGCTGAGGTGTGAGTAAAAATATTCATTCAAGATTTCTGTGGCTTGTTTACTGAAGTTACGCCTTTTTCGTCTGGCATCAAGGAACCTTGATCTTAAAATCATAACTGCTTTACAAGTGTTTTGTTTGAGCTGCATTTGAATGGAACTAAATTTTCGATGGATGATGCCCACCATTCTCTCAATCTCTTTTGGGGAAATGGGACGTGTTCTACTCTGCTCTCCAAGAAGGTTCATCACATGTGTAGTGAATGCATTACATGCCTGTTCATATTTCTCCAGTTCTGTGTGATAGATTTGTCTGATCTGGGTCAACTTGGCTCTGTAATCTGAGTGTTCAACAGAATTATCTGAAGAGCCTCCAGAGGCTGCTGCGGCTGCTGCCGCCGATCCCCCACCTTTCTCAAGACCTGAAACCCCTTCTGCCAAAAGCATATTGTCCAGTCTCATTAGCTGGGGATCGGGAGGGTCCTCCTCCTGGGCTCCTCTGATGCTGAGACCTGTTTTCTCTTTGATCTCGCACAGGACGCTGAAGAGCGCGGATTTCATTCGGTGACAGTTCAGGGCATGTTTCTTTGCTTGCTCCTTGTCCAAGCTCTGGTCACTGATGGTCATGATCTGGTGGAGGGTGTCGCCGATGTCCTGCTTCCTGCCGTCGCCGTCTGCCCCTTCGTGGACGTGCAGGGGAGGCGGCAGGGCTATGCCCCACTGCACCCAGTGGCCGGCCAGGTTCACCCCGGCCAGAGTCTGCAGCATCCTGGATTGATAGTCCATCCCGCTGCGCGCGGGCGGGCGGGAGCGGGCCGTGGCCGCGGCTGAGACTGAAGGCTGAGGCGGCGGTGAATCCTATTTCTAATATTTGTTGAGGATTTTAGCATCTGTGTTCATCAGGAATATTAGCTTGTAATTTTTTTCTTGTAGTGTTAAGATAATGCTGGCCTTGTAAAAAGAGCTTGAAATTCTTCCTCTTGAATTTTTTTTTGAATAGTTTGAGGAGGAGAGTTATTAGTTCCTCTTTGAAGGTTTGGTAATAATTCCCTGTAAAGCCATTTGGCTCAGGACATTTGTTTACTGGAAGCTTTTTAAATTAATGCTTCAATTTCATTAGACGTGGCTAGTCTATTCAGGTTTTCTAATTCCTTCTGATTCAGTTTTGGAAGATTGTATGTTACTAGGTATTTTTTCCATTTCTCCCTGGTTGTCCAATTTTTAAGCATATAGCTGTTTGCAGTATTTCCTTACAACCCTTTGTCTTTCTGTGGTGCCAGTTCTATGTCTCCTCTATTAACTTGGGTCCTTTCTCTCTTTTACTTGATGAGTTTAGTTCAATATTGTTCATCTTTTCAAAGAACCAGCTCTTGGTTTCACTGATCTTTTGAATTTTTTTTACAGTCTCTGTGCTATTTACTTCATTCTACTTGCTCATGGCTTTTCTTGTTCTCTTTATAATTCTTTTAGATTTAGAGTTAGGTAATTGATTATAGAATTTTAATTTTTTGAAGAAGAAGACCAGTAATACTATGAAGTTCCCCCTCATGTCGGCTTTAGCTGTGTCCTGTAGATTTTGGTTGCTATATGTTCATCTTTGTTTCCAAGAAGTTTTTAATAAATTTATTTCTTCCTGATTTCATTGGTAACCATGCATTGTTCAATAGCATGCTATTTAGCCTCCAGGTGTTTGAATGTTTTGGGGTGTTTTCTATTGTAGTTGATTTCTAGTTTCATGCCATTGTTATAAAGAAAGATGCTTGATATGATTACAATCATCTTGTACTTGTAGAGATTTATTTTGTGTCCTCTATGTTATCTATTTTTGAATCTGTCTCATGTGCACCTGAGATAGTCTTTGACTATCTCTCTCTTTCTGTCTTTTAAGATTCTCTCTTTGTTTTTAACATTTGACATTTTAATTATAATGTGTTTTGTAATGAGTCTATTTGGGTTCATATTGATTGGCATCCTCTGTGCTTCCTGAACTTGTGTGGCTTTTTCCTTTACCAATTTAGGGAAGTTTTTCTGTTATTATTTCTTCAAACAAGTTCTCTATCCCTTTGTAACTGTCTTCTTTTGTGGTACCCCCTATGCTGCAGATGTTCTATTTTATGTTGTCCCATAGTTCCTTTAAACTGTTGTCATAATTTTTTTAAAAAAAATATATATTTTATTCATTTTGTGCAGAGAGAAAGGGAGAGAGATAGAGAGTTAGAAACATCGATGAGAGTCATCAATCAGCTGCCTCTTGCACACCCCCTACTGGGGATATGCCCGCAACCAAGGTACATGTCCCTGACCGGAATCGAACCCGGGATCCTTCAGTCCCCAAGCCGACGCTCTATCCATTGAGCCAAACCGGTTTCGGCTGTTGTCATAATTTTAAAGAATTTTTACATTTTGCTGCTTTGATTATATTTTTTTCTACCTTCCTTTCTCATTTGCTTATTTGATTTTCTGCTTTATTAAGCCTGCTTTTAATTCATTTTAGGGTATTCTTGATGTCAGATGTACTATTGTTCATTTCTGCCTGTTTCTTCATCATAATTTCTAAATACACACACACACACACACACACACACACACACACATATATATATATATATATATATTCAAGTTTAAGTAATTTTTATCATCTAAAGTTTTACACATATCTCCTTTTCCCCCAATTGACCCTTCCAACCATCCCCACCCTGAGCAGACACCCACTCCCATCCCCATTGTCTGTATCTATTGGTTATGCTAATATGCATTCATACAAATCATTTGGTTGCTCTCTAACTTCCCCACATCACCTGCCATTTGTCTCTGGATCTGTTTATGTTGATTATTATATTCCACATATGAATGAGATCATGTAATATTTATGTTTCTCTGACTGGCTTATTTTACTTAGCATAATGCTCTCCAGTTCCATCCATGCTGTTGCAAATGGTAAGAACTCCTTTTTTACTGCAGCATAGTATTCCATTGTGAAGTTGTACCACAGTTTTTTAATCCATTTATCTGCTGATGGGCACTTAGGCTGTTTCCAAATCTTAACTATTGTAAACTATGCTGCTATAAACATAGGAGTCATATATACTTTCTGATTTGTGTTTCTGATTTCTTGGGATATAGTCCTAGCAGTGAGATCACTGGGTCAAATGGGAGTTCCATTTTTAACTTTTTTTAGGAAACTCCATATTGTTTTCCACAGTGGCTGCACCAGTCTGCATTCCCACCAGCAGTGCATGAGGGTTCATTTTCTCCACATTCTCGCCAGCACTTGTTTTTTGATTTGTTCATGATAGCCATTCTGGCAGATGTGAGATGGTATATCATTGTTATCTTTATTTGCATCTATCAGATGATGAGTGACTTTGAGCATATTTTCATATGTCTCTCTGCCTTCTGTATATCCTCTTTCAAAAAGTTTCTACTTAGCCGAAACCGGTTTGGCTCAGTGGATAGAGCATCGGCCTGTGGACTGAAAGGTCCCAGGTTCGATTCTAGTCAAGGGCATGTACCTTGGTTGCGGGCACATCCCCAGTGGGGGGTGTGCAAGAAGCAGTTGATCAATGTTTCTAACTCTCTATCCCTCTCTCCTTCTCTCTTCCTCTCTGTAAAAAATCAATAAAAAGAAAAGTGTCTACTTAGGTCATTTGCTCATTATTTGATTGGATCATTATATTTCTTTTATTAAGTTGCATGAGTTCTCTGTAAATTTTGGAGATTAAACCTTATCTGAAATAACATCGGCACACATATTCTCTTATATAGTGGGCTTTCTTGTTGTTGTGTTGATGGTTTCTTTTGCTATGCAGAAGCTTTTTATTTTGATGTAGTTCCATTTATTTATTTTCTCCTTAATCCCCATTGCCTTAGGAGCTGTGTTGGTAGAGATATAACTACGGCATATGTCTGATAATTTGCTGCCTATGGAGTCTTGTAGGATTTTTATTGTTTCTAATCTAACATTTAAGTCAGTTATCCATTTTGAGTTTGTTTTTATGTATGGTGTAAGTGATGATCTAGTTTCATTTTTTTTCATGTATCTGACCAAATTTCCCAGCACTATTTATTGAAGAGACTCTCTTGACTCCATTGTATGCTCTTGCCTCCTTTGTTAAATATTAATTGAGCATAATGGCTTGTGCCGACTTCGGGGTTCTCTGTTCTGTTCTATTGGCCTATATGTCTTGTGTCAGTACCAGGCAGTTTTGAGAACTGTGGCTTGGTAATATAGCTTGATACTTGGTATTGTGATCTCTCCAACTTTGTTCTTTCTCAGGATTGCTGTGCTATTTTGGTTCTTTTTGTTTATTCCAGATGAATTTTTGGAGAGTTTGTTCTAAATCTTTGAAATATACTGTTGGTATTTTAATGGGGCTTGCATTGAATCTGTAGATTGCTTTGTGTAGTTTGGACATTTTAATGATGTTGATTATACCAATCCATGTACATGGTATGTTCTTCCATTTCTTTATGTATTCCTCTATTTCTTTTTTAATGTCCTATAGTTTACTGAGTATAGTTTGTTTGTTTTTTTTACCTCTTTAGTTAAGTTTATTCCTAGGTATCTTAATTTTTTGTTGTTGCAATGATAAATGTGATTGTTTTTTAGCTTCCATTTCTGTGAGTTCATTATTTGTTTATAAAAAGGGCATAGATTTCTGGGCATTAATTTTGTATCCTGCTACATTGCCAAATTCATTTATTAGGTCTAGTAGTTTTTTGGTGGAATATTTGGGGTTATCTATGTATAGTATCATGTCATCTGCGAATAAGGACAGTTTTACTTTTACTTTTCTAATTTGGATGCTTTTTATTTCTTTTTCTTATCTGATCTCTAGGGCTAGCATTTCCAGTACTATATCAAACAGGAGTGGTGAAAACAGGCATGTCTTGCTCCTGTTCTTAGGGGAAATAAGTTGAGTTTTTTGTTATTGAGTATGATGTTGGATGTAAGTTTGTCATAATTGTTTGTATTTTTCATTGTCATTTTCATTGTATTGTTTTCATTCCTCTTAATATGTTGAGATATGATCCCTTCATTTCCAGTTTGCTGAGAGTTTTTATCAAGAAAATGTGTTGGATTTTGTCAAATGCTTTTTCTGCATTGATTGATATAATTATGTGATTTCTGTCAATTTGTTTATGATGTATCTCATTTTTTGATTTATAGATATTGTACCATCCTTGTATCCCTGGAATAAATCTCACTTGGTCATGGTATACTAATATGATCTTTCTAATGTAAGGCTGGATCCAATTTGCTAGACTTTTGTTGATTTTAGCATCTATGTTCATCAAGGATATTGGCCTTTAGTTCTATTTTTTTGTGGTGTCTTTATCTGGTTTTGGAATTAGGGTAATGCAGGCTTCATAGGAAGAGCTTGGAAGTGTACCTTCCACTTGAAAAAAAAATTTTGAATAGTCTGAGGAGGATAGGTTTTAGTTCTTTGAATGGTTGGTAGAACACCACTGCAAAGCCGTCTGGACCAGGGCTTTTGTTTGCTGGAAGATTTTTGGTCATTGTTTCAATGTCTTTGGTAGTTATTGGCCTACTCTGGGTTTTTTTATTCTTCTTGGTTGAGTTTTGGGAGCTTGTATTTTTTAAAGAATGTGTCCATTTCATCGAAGTTGTCCATTTTGTTGAAATAGAGTTGTTCATAGTATTTTCCCCCCATAATTGTTTGCATTTCTATGGGATTGATTGTTACTTTACCTGTTTATTTCCAATTTTGTTTATTTGGGTCCTCTCTCTTTGCTTCTTGATGAGCCTGGCTAGAAGTTCATCAATCATGTTTATCCTTTCAAAGAACCAGCTCTTGGTTTTGTTGATCTTTTTTATTTTTATTTTTGTTGTTGTTGTTGTTTTTATCACATTTATTTCTTCACTGACCCTTATTATTTCCTTGCTTCTGCTTTTCCTGTTGCTCTCTAACTCTTTGAATTGCAAGGTTAGATAATTTTTTACCATTTTTTTCTTGTGTTTTGAGATAGGCCTGTAGAGCTATGAACTTCTTTCTCAAGACTGCTTTCACTGTGTCCCATAAATTTTGAATTGTATTGTTTTTATTGTCGTTTGCTGCTATGATGCTTTTTATTTCTTCTTTGATCTCTTTGGCAACCCAATCATTGTTTAATAACATGCTATTTAGCATGTAGGTATTTGATTTTTTAAATTGTGTTGATTGTAGTTGATTTCTAAATTTATGCCATTATGATTTGAAAAGATGCTTGATATGATTCTATCTTCTTGAATTTGTTGAGACTTTGCCTGTGCCCCAATATGTGGTCTATCTTTGAAAATGACCCCATGCACTTGAGAAGAATTATATTCTGTGGCTTTGGGGTGAAATGTTTTGAAGATGTCAATTAATTCCATCTGATCTAGTGAGTCATTCAGGATTGTTGTTTCTTTGCTTTTTTTTTTTTTCACCAGTGGTGCTAGTGGAGTATTAAAGTCTCCTATTATGACTGTATTACTATCAATATCTCCCTTGATATCTCCCAGAAGATTATTTATGTATTTGAGTGCTCCTTTATTGGGTGCATATATAATTACCAGAGTTATATCTTCTTAAATTGCTCCCTTTAGTATTATAAAGTGGCCTTCCTTATCTCTTTTTATGGTATTCATTTTGAGGTCTAATTTGTGAGATATAAGTATTAGTACCCCAGCTATTTTTTTTCCATTTCAATTCGCCTGAAAAACATTTTCTATCCCTTCACCATCAGTCTGTGTGAGTTCTTTGTTCTGAGATGTATTTATTATAGACAGCAGATAGATGGGTCATGTTTTCTTATCCATTCAGCTACCCTATGTCTTTTTATTGGGGCATTTAATCCATTTACATTTAAAGTTATATTTGATAGGTACTTGTTTGTCACCATATTTATTCTGTATGCCCATGTTTCTTCTTCCCTGTCTATGTCTTCTTTTTATAGCAGACCCTTTAGCATTTCTTGAATTGCTGGTTTGGTGGTAATAAACTCCCTTAATCATTTTTATTTTATTTTTTTGTCTGTGAAGCTCCTGATTTCACCTCCAAGTTTGATAGATAGCCTTGCTGGGTACCACATTTTTGGATTCAGACTCTTGCTTTGCATGATTTTGTATATTTCTTTCCATTCCCTTCTGGCCTGATGTGTTTCTGTTGAGAAATCAGTCACTAGTCTGATGGCGGACCTATTGAAGATAACTTTCTGCCTCTCTCTGACTGCTTTTAAGATTCTTCCTTTGTCGTTGGTGTTTGACAATATAATTATAATATGTCTTGCTGTTGTTCTTTTTTGGGTTCATCTTGTTTGGGACTCTGTGAGATTCTTGGACTTGTGTGATTTCCCCCCATTTTTTCCCCTCAACCCTGGCCAATATCAGGGAAGTTTTCTGTCATTATTTCTTCAAACAGGTTTTATATTCTTTGCTAAGTTTATTCTCTTCCTGGCACCCCTATTATCCAAATGTTGTTTCATTTTGTGTTATCCCAAAGTTTCCTTAGGCTCTCCTCCTATTTTTCAAGTTTGTTTTCCAGTTGCTGCTGTGCTTGGGTATTTTTTCCCTACCTTGTCTTCTAGCTCAATGATGCAGTCCTCCACTTCTTCTAGTCTACTTTTGATGCTTTCAAATGTGTTCTTTATTGCAGTGATGTTCTTTTTCATTTCTTCTTGGTTATTCTTCATTTCCTCTTAATTTTCACACATATTGTTGAATTTGTCTTTAACCCTTTACAGCATCCTTATAAACATTGCTCTGAATTCTTCTTTTCCTTCTCCTCCTCCTCCTCCTCCTCCTCCTCCTCCTCCTCCTCCTCCTCCTCCTCCTCCTTCTCCTTCTTCTTCTTCTTCTTCTTCTTCTTCTTCTTCTTCTTCTTCTTCTTCTTCTTCTTTATATTCAGTTTTCTTTAATGACTCCCAGCTCCCTGGAGGATGGGTGCAGGCAGCTGGATGATGGCAAGAGATGTTCACTTTAATATCTTGCCCTGATTGAAGGCTTTGCCCATTTGCTGGAAGGCCTACTCTCAGCAAAAGTATTCTCACACTAGTATCTGGGTCTTCACACTGCTAGGATACAGCTTCCACCATGTGTATGACTTGTAGTCCACCTGCCAGTCTGGAGTCAGTGGAAAGACAAGCTCCTGGCTTCAGAAGACCCAGACTCCAGAAATGGAGCTGCTGTTGGTTTCAAAGAGGATGGTACTGGCAAAGGAGTTCTTCCTCAGCTTGTCCAACTGTTGGAACATTCCAGTGATGAGGTTGCAGATCATGAAGGTCTGGGTGAGCTCTTCAGGGAAGCAGCACTCAGAATACCTTAGGGACCTGCTGTCCTTATCAAAGTACTCCCAAAAATATGGCAGCGCCACTGACAGCAGGTCCTCATTGCAGTACTTGTGTTTGAATTTACCCAATACAAAGGTACTCCTGGGCAGGTGAGGAAAGGGGTCCTTGGCCATCGGCTCTGCCACCAGCACTTGCTCATACTCATCCATCTTCTCCTCGGAAGTGGATGCAGCAGCCTTTTTCCCTCCTCTTTCTGCTTGGGCTAGGGTTTTGGCTTCTCCTCTCAAGGTTATTTCTCCTTCCAGGGTTTGCCCTTTTTAGGCTAGCTCTCTCAAACTTTTTTAGCATCAAACTGGGCCACCTTCTCACAGAGCTTTACCTCCCCCAAGACTGCGCAGAACTGGGGCTGGTTAATGCAGGTGAAGAAACAGTGGTTGTTGTTGGGGAAGGCCTGGTGGAAAGATGGCTCCAGGATCTGCTTATAGAGCCATAGCAGGGTGCAGACAACTGTGATGTCAGCCGGTGTCACACGTTCACCCACCAGAAAGGTCCTTGTCTTCAAGTGAGCATCCAGAAGCCCTAGTATTCACCTCATGTTCTACTTTGTAGTCTCTGTGACCTGCTTATTATAATGCATGTTGCTCAAGGTGGGGAACACCCAGATACTGGCTGGGAGCATTATGTCACTATCAGCAAAGCTCACCTACCTGGACTGCTGCTTCTGGACTACTTACCCACAGGTCCTCATTGCTCACATAGTAGGCAATGACATTGCTCTTGAACACACAGAATCCATAATTACCTTCAAATGCTGGAAACTTGCCAGCAAGAAACTTAGGGAGAAATTCAGGGGCGCTGTTGGTTTGGCCAAAGTGGAAGTAGGGTGGTGCAGAGGGTACCTGGACCCGAGCTCCACTGTACTGCATGCAATGAGGGCCTTGAAGGCCCTCCAGTTTTCAGGGTATGTGTACAGGATCCCAGCCACCATTGTGATTCTGCAGAAAAAGGAGTGGGGCTCTCAGTCGATCTGAATTCTTTCTCTGACAAATTACTTGCCTCCATTCCGTCTAATTCTTTTTCCAGTGATTCTTCCTTTTCCTTTGTATGGGGGCTATTTCTTTGTCTCCCATGTTCACTTTTCCCAGGGTATTGGGTTATGCAGCTCTCTCTCTTTTGCACTGACTCTCTCCAGGTGACCTTTGACCTTTCTGTTCACCGAGTGCCTCACTAGCTGTGTTTTAATTCACCAGTTTTGGGTGGGTGTTATTTGATTCAGCTGTTCCTTCTATCTGCTTTTGTGAAAAGGTGCAGGACCCAACTGGGTATTTGGCTGACACCTTGTCTCAGTGTTTGTTGGTTTGTAGCTGAGGCAGTTGGTCTCTGGGGATTGTGGTTGTAGGGTCCCTGATGTATCCAAGGTCTCATCAGTTAAAGGTAAGGCTGGGCTTTTTATCACAGCTACTCTCCCCTTCAAAATGGCATGGTCTCTGTGATAGAGCCAGCAACTAGGAGAGATTTCAGCAGTAGTAGATACTGCCCATCCAGGGGAGCCTGGTCCACCAGTCTCCAACAGTCCTGTGGAATATAACTGTCCCTCACTCACAAATACAATCCCTGCACATCCATGCACTCTCTTTTTGTTCTCTCACTCACACACTGTCTTGCAGCCTACCATCCCATCAGCCACCATCTTCAAGCCTCTCCTATATATTTTTGAATGATAGACTTGCTGATAAAGTAATCTTGGTTTTAGATTCTATTGATAGCTTTTCATTACTTTAAATATTTCATACTATTCCTTTTTTTGTCTAAAGTGTTTCTGTTGGATTTTTCCTTCACCAGTTTAGCAAAGTTTTCTATAATTATTTCTTCACAGAGGTTCTCTATACTTTACTACCTGTCTTCTTCCTTTGGTACCTCTATGATGCAGATGTTGTTCTATTTCATGTTGTCTCATAGTTCCCTTAAACCATTCTCATGATTTGTAAGTATTTTTACTTTTTGCTAGTCTGATTGTATATTTTCTACCTTCTCTTCTAATTTGCTTATTTGATCATCTTTTTCATCAAGCCTGCTTTTAATTCCTGTTTCTTAGTAATAATTTCTATATATTTTTTTCATACTGAGGCAACTTTCTCTAAATTCCTGCAGTTCCCACTTTAGTTATATTAAGTTTATTGTTTTCACTGTTACTTGAACATCCTAATAACCATTACTCTGAACCCTATATCTGATAATTTGCTTATCTCCATCTTGTTTAGGTGTTGTTGTTTTTTTGGTGATTCTTCATATTTTTAAATTTGGGGGTTGTTCCTTGTCTCTCCATTTACTTTCCTCTTTGTGTTTGTTTCTTTGTATTAGATATACTTCTATGACTCTCAGGATTTGTAGTGTTGGCTTTTGCAGTAAATGTTCCATGGGTGTCCTATACTTATAATTACTGAACTGTATGCTCTAGTCATACTCATTTTGAGGATTATTTGGGTTCTTTTACTGTAATTGGATCTTGATTGTTATTATGCAGTTTATGGATAGGCTCTCTTCTCAGGCCAGCTAACTATGAGACTCAACCATTATGATGTTATGTGAGCTTTTGTTACAGGTGCTTACAAACCAAAACAAACACCCCCTAAAACAACAACAACAACCAACACACAGGAACATACAAAAAAATACTGACAACAATGGCAAAAACCACTACAAAAGAAAAAAGAATTAGGAAAGAGAAAACATGAATACTAAAGTAAAAATAAAGATAGAAAAAGATAATATTGCTAACATTGAAATAAAGAATAAAAAGGATCTGGAAGAGAAAATGGGCAGGAGCAAGATTCTAAGAGGAAAGAATGGAGAGAAAGAATAAGAGTAGAGAGTAAGAAAAAGAATATGATAAAAAAAAAAGACAAGAAGATAGAGTAAGAAAGCAAAAATGTTATGCAAAGGTAACAAGAAGAGAGAGAAAGGAAAAGCAAAAGAAAGAATGGAAAATAAAAAATGGAAAAGTGCTTAACAAAAGGAAGGAGGCCAACAAAAGTGCTTAACAAAAAAATATATGAAAGAAATGAGAGAAATGAGCAAAAAATCTTTAATAATAATAATAATAATATCAAAGTAATAAAGAAGAAAATAAGGAAAATATTGCAAAAAAGAAAAAAGAACATTAAAAAAAAGACAGTCATAGGAAGTTTTTCTAGACAGTTTATATTGTCTGAGGCTTACTTCTTGTCTGCTGATTTCAGGCCTCCTGGGAGGTACTTTTGGGTCAGCCAATTTCAGGAGCTAAGTCTGGCTTTCAGTGTTCTGTTGTAGCTATGGTCAGTCTGAGGTTCTCTGAAAATATCTTCCATCTGCCCCTCTCCTGAGGTGTCCTAGCCTTCCTGCAGTGTCAGCCAAAGAAGGTCTTAAGGGTGGAGGCAAGAAGGCTAGCATAGCTTCTTATAGATTTCACCATCAGGCACTCAACGAGTGTAAATTAATCTCTGCTTCAAAACCAAACTACTCAGTCTCTGTCATATTCTCCAAATATAGTTCCATCTTAGGCGGCCTGTTGTATGTTCAAGTTGGATAGAGCTTGCTGTCTTTTCTGAAAGAGCAGATTCAGCTGCCCAGGCTCAGTGGGATTGATCAAAAAAGTCACTTGTGAGCATATTACCTACCCAACCCACAGTAGAACGACTAAGCATTTCTTCCTTGTCCCAGGCAAGAGCCTTTGAGGGTCTTATTCTTGGAATGCTTTTCTATGAGATGTTCTCCTTATCCCCACCAAAGTGTAGGGGTATCTGAGGCTTCAGAAAGCAGATCCAAGGCTTTTCCTGTTGTGGAGTGGCGCTTCAAGCCTGCAGGATGGGTAGACATGCTCCACCCCTCCTTCCTGGGATGGCTGACTGAAATCACCAGGAGCTTGGATCAGCCTCTCCACAATGCATTCACAAAGTTCAGCTCTGCTTCCCCAGTATAAACCTTCCTTGGGGATGCTGTCTAAAAATACAAACATACAAACAAACAAAAAACCCATGTTTTTTTGAGGCCCCAGTACCCTTGGACCACAAGTCCAAGCAAAAGGGGCTACGAAGTCAGCCCCACATAGGACTATGATCTATCAGCACAGCTGGTCTCTGTAAAAGTGTGGCTGAGAATCCCAGCTCCATTCATGGTCCCACTCTCCTCAGTGCAGATCAAAATCCCCATCTGTCCTTCTACCAGCTCCACAGGCTGAGCAGTCCATGAACTCTACAGGGAAGGGAGGAGTTCCAACCCATCTCAGGAGGTGGGAGAGTTCCCCTCCCCTTCAAAGGCCACACAGTTTTTTTATGGGTTTCTTTACAATGCCTTTATGAAAAGCAGAGGGTCCCTTTAAGTCACTCCTGGGTAAATCCCTCAGGCTCCTTTCTATTCTGGAGCCACAGACTGCAGTGCTGCTTTTCCAGCAGTCAGAGACTGAGGTGAACATCTTCTAAAGTAGCTGGTGAATTAGGTTTGATTTTTTACTGCAAAGGTACAGACCCAGCCTTCAAGGCAGACAGTTATGCTACATCTCTCTGACCAATGCTGTATGGGCTCCTCCCAGTCTTTGCTGTTCAGGATTTGGGATCTCTGCATGGGGATGCAAGCCCAAACTTCTCCCTTATTAGTCACAATGTTGTTTCTTCAGTGCTCATTAGATACAATATTTTACAATGAATTTATGGCAGGTTGGCTCACACCCAGATCCCTCTTTAAAAACAAAAATTAGAGAATCTCTTTATCGCACCTTAACTTTGAAAGATAGTTTAGTTGAACACAATATTCTTGTAACAGTATTTTCTATTATCCCTTTGAATATACCATACCACTGTCTTTGAGATTCCCCAGTTTGTCATGTGAAGTTAGCTGTTCATCTTATGGGTGTTGTTGCATGGTCAATTTGGCCCAGTGGTTGAGCATTGAACAATGAATCAAGAGGTCACAATTTAATTCCCAGTCAGGGCACATGCCCAGTTTGCAAACTCAAATCCCATAGAGAGTGTGCGGGAGGCAGCTGATCAATGCTTCTCTCTTATCATTGATATTTCTATCTCTATCTCCCTTTCCAATTCTTTCTCTGAAATCAATAAAAACAACAACAACAACAACAACAACAACATTTTACTGGTATTCTCTTTTCCATGATGATTTGTTTGCTCTTTGTGGGTTTTATGATTTTCTCTGTCCTTCTTAACTTCTACTGTGATGGGTCTCATTGCGGACTTCATTGTACTTATTCTAGTTAGATTTCATTGAACTTAGATATTCAGATTGATATTTACCATTGAATATATTTGAAAAATTTCAACAATTATTTCTTCAAAAATATTCCCTTTTTCTCCTTGCTCTACATTTATAGTTCCCATTACTTTATGTATAGAGATGCTTTCCTCTGACCATTCACATCTACTCTTGAGGTTCTCCAGTGAAGTTTATCTTACAGTTATTGAAATTTCAATGTCACAATTTTTAATATTTTTATTTTTTTATATAATTTTCTCTGATATTTGATGACATATTATCACCTATTTAATATATTTATAAATTATGTAACAAGCTACAACTGGAATATACACAAAGAGTTTTTGTGATCTGCTTTTCTCCTTTGTATAGTTTACACTTGCTTTTTCTTTTCATGTCTCATATATTTTGTGGCAAAACCTGGACTTTTTTGGCAATGCATTGTAGAAAATCTGGAAACTGGGTTCCCTTTTACTTTGGAAGATTGTTATCATTGTGTTTATGGTTCTATATTGAGTGATAAGGCTAGACTATTTCATATTTTACTGAAGTCTTCTTCCATGCAATGTCAAGCTTCTAACGTTGGTTCTGTGAGGACATGAACTTGGGAAATGAACACCATCACCTTTGAAAGACAGAGGTTTTTGAAAACTTCTCTTTTATTGTCTCCTTCCCTGATTGTCGTGTTAACCAGCCTGCATCATTTTATATCATATCAAAGGTCATAATGAAGTATGTTAAGCACTAATCTGCCAGGACAAGAATCAGTAGT